CATTCACACACTGGTGATGGCAGCTACATTGTAGCCACAGCCACCCTGGGGCACACTGACAGAGAAGTAATCATAATTTTTGCACAAAATCAAAATAACCTGTTTATGCAATACCAGGTGCTATAACCTTTTCCACTCTGGTATGCTCAGTCGCTGCATCTTCATGTAAGACACGTATGTTTGTGTGATCTTTAAAGCTGTTCTTCTAAAAAGTTATGCAATCTAGGATTTTGAATGCTGATTGCTTCAAGCTGCAGCAAAATGTATGTTTGATACTTTCAGTCATGAGTATTTTATACTGTTATTATTCCTGTTAAGAGTATCTGGAATATGCACTTCTTACAGTGGCCATGTTACACAGTACCCTGCTCAAATGTAGGTAATGTTAGACATGAGTGTCCTGGAATTAGACCTCAGTACTGTTAAAGTTGAGTTACTGACCCGTTGCTGTGTCAATAAAAGTGCAAAAAATAAGAGTGCTTCTGGTGTCTTGCTTTAAGATAAAGTCCCATATTTTTTTTGTAGCTTTTTGAACAGATGGTGTCTTTTTCTAATTATTGTTCTCAGAGTTGAGATTTAATTCTTATATTTAAAGAAACAATTCAGTCTCTTTCCTTGTAATAAGTCAAATTTTCTTCATTTAAGCATACATTTTAGACAGTTTTGTCTAGTTAAAAGGCAGATTAATTTGCTAGTTTTAACAATTCTAGTCAAGCAACTTTTGCTCACCCCACTGGCAGATTTTTTTTTTCTTCTCAAAACAAGAAACTTTTGTCAGATTTAAGAATATTTGGCTTGTTTCAAGTATAACCGTTTATGCAGTGTAGCCACAGGTTGTGTGATACAATTACAAAATCCATCATTGACCTGCAGCCCAGAGTGTCCTGGTGCCACGTGCACTTATGGATACTCTTATGTTCGAACATGGTGTTTGTTATGGCCAAACTGTACTTTGCACAGAAGTCCAACAACAAAACACTGCTCATGTTCAGATCCCGGAGGCCGTTCCTCCCAATCACATCTGTCCAGGTCTCACTGTCATTTCCCACGCAAGCATTGAAGTCTCCCATTAGGACAACAGAGTCTCCAGGCGGAGCACCTTCCAGCACCCCTCCCAGGGACTCTAAAAAGGCTGGGTACTCTGAGCTGCCACTTGGCGCATAAGTGCAAATGACAGTCAGGACCCATTCCTCAACCTGAAGGTGCAGGGAACAAACCCTCTCATCCTCTGGGAAGAACCCCAACGTACAGGCAGCAAGCCGAGGTGATAATAGAATACTCAGGCTCCTTTCCTATGAGAGAGGTGGCATTCCATGTCCTAACTGCCAGTCTTGGTAGCCGGGGCTCGGTCCACCAGGGCCTCTGCTCCAGAGTGGGTAGCAGCTACTGCATTTTTATTTATTTAACTTCAGGTCTACCAATAAGTGACAATATAGTGAAACAATAATCAGTGTATATATGTATACTTTTTAATTCATTAACTCAAATCAAACCCCACAAATTATTGATGCACCACAGTCACAGGACCCTTCTCAGATACAAATGAGCTAGTTCAGTGAATGGGAAAAAACTTCCCTTTGGTTTTCCAAGCAATCTGCAATGTAAAAACAAAACAAGAAAGTGTGCACGGTATTTTCAAACAAGGAATTACAAGATTTTGCAAAATGAAGAAACAAATTGAAGGCTTGCAGTTAACTATAATAACCAGCTAGATGGACAGCACTAGAGTTATGTTGATTGCTCACAGCCTGTGAAAGACTGACTGATGTAATTACTTGACCTGCTCAAATATAATTACATAAAATCAAACTTAGAGACAGCATAATTTGTCAGGTGCTTCCTCTCTTAAGAAGACATTG